TGGAAATTAAAAGACAGAAATGTAAATTGCAGTAAAGTAAAGACTGAAATGTAAATGACTGAAATGTAAATGACTGGAATATAAATACTGAAATATAAAAGACTGAAATATAAAAGACTGAAATATAAAGGACTGAAATATAAATACTGAAATATAAATTACTAATAACTAAATAATATTAATTATATTAATCTAATAATAATAATGGAAGAGAAAGTACATGTTGGGAAGATAAATAATACTTTGATGGATGGATGGATGATGGTACTTTGATGAGAAAGCCTTGGGAAGTGGGTTGACTTTTGGGGAAACTTGCAAGTCAAGTAACGAAACTTGCAAAAAACAAGTTTCGTTAAGAAGACCGGAAGATCACTTGCAAAGTCGTAAAAACTTTTTATTTAAACTACGTAAATTAGCCGTAAGCCACAAAGGATGAGATTCGATGTAAAGTAACGACGATCGACTAAATCGTAACTTGAAATAAAAGTAAGAAAACGTCACGTAACAGAAATGAGATGAAGATTTAAAGATGAGTACTTAAATTAAACTTTAAGAAAGAAATTACAACTACAAAGATAGAATCGTGAAAAGTCAAAGAGAACCGAGGCTTAGAACCGAAAGCAAAGTTCTTGAAAGCAACTTACAAAAGATTATCCATAAATCTCCCAAAAGTATTTGTGAATAAGAGAATTGGTTACCAAAAGTGTGTTTAAAACAAAGCCTAAGGCTTGTATTTATAGTCCAAGGAAGGTCCCAAAGTGGGTGCCAACTAATAAGACAAAAAGCCTCTTCAAACTGGGCTTTGACCAAGCCCAAGGCTGTTGACCACGCCTCCCTACTGGATCAGCCCAAAAATCCACGCCCAAGCACTTTTCCAGCTCTCGGACAGGTCCTACAGGACCTTGCCACTCCTGGTCCTGTAGGACTGCTGCAGGACTGAGCCCAAAAAAAGATCAAAAACCTGCAAAAACAGAGAATTAACATTAGATATACTATGTAACTACTAATATATGAAAAAGGCATAAAAAGACTCAATTAGGACATTAATGGGCAAATAAAACAAAGGAAAATGATGTAATAAGGTTAATAAATTAACACTTATCAGTTGACATTATGATATTTCTAGTTTTTTTTTAACTTTATCCTCTACTTCAGTTATGTTAGGGAAACAGTTTATGGACATGAACTTACATCCTGTTTTTTGAAGTGAAGTATGTCTTTGAATCCATGAATATTTGTGTATGTTTTGATATACATCACAGTTTGACCATGCATTGATGTACACGGGACGTTCACATGAACACCAACATGGGCACACATGTCCTGTCAGTTCGCACTTAGCCAAAAAATTTCTATGTTCGATAATCAACGAACCGGTTGTCCACCACGACGTCCGGGGTTAAATGTGTTACAGAAAGCATGTCATATTATGACATCTTCAGGTAGTATGTATTTTACGGTAGCACTATTATTTACGATTCAAAATTTTCAAAAAATACGTGCTTTGTGTATATATTTAGTTACTGACATTACGATCTTTAGTTCAATTGTGCTAGTCTTACCGATTATCTTTTTTCATGGATTGTACTGGGGCATACAAAGTACAAACATTAAATGATTCATGGGTTGTGTTGGTGCAACTGGTATGGGTGTTCATCTCCTTCCGTATGTGTATGAGTGTTTTTATATTCAATAGTGCCTATTTGTGGTCATGTAATCTGATTTGATCTTATGGTCTGACAGCAACATATATAGAACATCTGGAACAAGACGGCTGACAATATACTCTAATTGCTATACATACATGTGTTTGTTTGTAAAACATCGGAACGATGTGTTCCTTAATAATTTAGATCTGGTTCTAATTTTGTATCTAAATTTGTATGCCTTAGAACCGTATGATCAAGATTTTGTACCTTATCATTATGAACCCCTTTAAACTAAGGGTACTTTGCGTGTTTTTGGATTTTAATAGTTCCAAAAAATACTTGCTTCGGTCTCAACTATTTCGTACGCCATTCAATTATTAATCACGCGTCGCTAAATAAGACTACCAAGATATGAAGTTGTGCAACATCAATCTGGATGAAACAAAATGTGTGTTTGTATTATGTCGCACATGTGTTTTTTTTTTTTTGTAAGGGTGTCTGGGCCAAAGCCCGACTAATCCCTTGCAAATTTGGAGGCTAAACATGGCCCCACTTAAATGTCGCCAACAGTCCACTCCCAGGGCTCGAACTCGGGTTCATGACTATGTCATGCCCAAGCCTTTACCACTAAGCTGGAAGGTCTTTGACTGTCGCACATGTGTTCCAATCTCGTAATCTACATTTATCCACATTTTCATACGTCATAAGTGACTCTTTCAATAATTGTTTTGTAATTGCAGTATGCGACAATAGAACAATCTGGCATAACAAATTGTAATCGATGAAAGCCCTGACACCTAGACACTATATCATTTTTTGATAGGATAACATTTGATTGCTGAATTTGCGGGTAAGAATGGGTTGGATGCCTCCAGAGATAGTTGAGCTAGTCAGGTGCGTTCCAACCTTTTTGTTTCAAGATACAATTATTGTCAATATCTGTGTACATGTAGCATATTAGTAGATGTTCATACATTTAACTATAGAAACTTTCATCTCGGAAAGTTGATGAAAGTATATATGTTCATGTCAACTATTCGGCCTTCGCGCCACCGAGACAGAAAGGTTATACACGGTGTCACATACACGGTGGAATCATAATTTGATATATCAAAAAACACATCTTGAACGGCACATAACATGTCGAGAACACTAAACGGCATAACCAATAGCCTTAATAAAAACCATTTAACTGAAATCTAAACTATGATGGATAAGATACTAATAATAAAGTGTAGTTACATATCGTATCCAAAACATAAGACGACGATGTCGCACGAACATATGTAAGTTTGACATCAACAACTAACACCAAAAAGATAACAAATTCTAAGTAATTGAATGCTAACTAATCTATCAATTATGGGTAATTACGTGAGTCGTGGCCACTATGTTGTCCACACATTGCACATTTTTGTTTTGCTTTTTTGCTATTAGTCTGTATTTTCTCAGATACACTTACCAGCCTCTTACCAGTGCCACAACCCTTGTTCCATAATCCAGATGGTGGTAGAATGTCCACCTCATCAGGTATGGAAACACCTAGATGATCTCTAATCGCATCCAACTTCTGTTGGGATGGATCTTCGTATGGAACTTCCTTCTCTATATCAACCATGAATTTATCAAGATTACGCCCCAATCTAGCCAATATAGATTTATCATTGCGGGCGATGCTTATTATGTCGTCGACGTTGGAATATACATCAATTATACACTTATCTTTCTCGGCATCAACCTCCCCATAACGAACTCTTGCGGATTGTATCTGTACTGGAAATAATTGTCGTTTCCATCGATGTAAGATGTATTTTTCCGGAATGCATTCAACTTCGTCGTTTATCAGTACCTTGAACGCGTGACGACAAAAATACCCGTTACGCGTAAATAGGTTGCAATCGCATTCGACTGTGTTTGTTGAGTAATTACGGCACACCTGACGTGAAAAAAGGGTACAAACAACAGCAGTCAAGATAAAATTAAATAACATAGTAACCATTGTGTTGTGAGTTAGGGATATGATACCAGATACGTGATGCTGTCAAATGATTTCTTGGTCTTGTGGCTTATCATGAATGACTTGAAATCATCCCGGCATTCGACGATCTCAATAGCACAAAACCATACAGCCTTCTTTATTTTCTTTTGGATGTAAAAAAACACGTTTCGACTGTATATACTTGATGCATTACTTTCTAAACGCAATGGAGTAACAAACTTCGGATTAGTGGTTCTCGTCACTGTTTCATGAACAGATTGTCTGTATCTTTGTTTCTCTATATCTACGTCGTAATTATTAAGGAATTGAACCAAATCAAACCAGAACGATTCGTATATATTAATATACGAATTTGAACTCTCAGATCTTAAGGTTGTTTTCATTAGTCCAGACATCTGCGTGTCCTTATAATAGGCAGGAATCCATGAGTGTCGGATTTCATACATCTCTGTGAACCAAGTATCGTCACCTAGATTGTATTGATCTATCATCTCATGCCAACGACTCTCGAACTCTGTTGGGCCAATATGTATGTTCCATACGAGCTTGTTGATAACTTTATTGAACATAGGATCTTGATTTAGGGCGACACTAACCTACGTGTACAAGGCTTCAACAAATGAAAGAATAACACGAAAACCTTATTTAAAGACAATAGCATTCAATATATACTACTTACCTTTGAAGGCACCTTCTTCATAATGTGCCACATACAGAGTCTATGCTTGGCTTCCGTAAACACCATCGGAATAGCCTGCTTCATTGTCGAACATTGGTCTATAATCACGAAAACTGGTTGCTTCTCATGACATTTTAGAAAAGCCTTTAGAACCCATGTAAAGTTCTCAATTGTCTCGCCACTTATTAGAGCGGATCCGACAACAACGGACGCCTTATGATTGTCAACAGCCAAGAAAGGAACGAAAATCATTCCATGCCTGAAACACATGTCAAATATTATGCATATCTATTTGTAGCCACGTCATATGCCCATAAAAATATCAAAGCATTATGAACTTCAAAAATTGTATTGCACTTGGGAATCTTACTTGTTCGTGCGAAAGATCCCGTCAAACGATATGACATCACCGAATTCTTTGTAGTTAATTCTAGCAACTTCATCTGCCCAGAAAGTTGTGCTCGGCTCCTGTTCATTGCACTTGTATTCGAAAAAAACGGGGACAATATCTTGTCTGTTTGATAGTTTATTGATCAACATCTTCGCGTCCTTATTCCCAACACAAGCAACAGCATCCCTCTTAAAATTCTTGAAGTCAATTTCAGAAATTCGAGTATGCTTAAATCCCCCGTTCAATGCCGTTTGAATACGGTGAGCCCTTCTCGCACCAACACCAACTTTGTAACTCGAGCTATTTAGGACAGTTTTGAAATCTGTATACTTCATCTGTCTATTCTTCCGAGAGAAACGATGATCGTTAATATTGAACAATGCACGGTTATGTGTCTCCACAAACTCATATATCTCGTAACAAGCCCTATCTTTCATCAAATGGATTTTTATACATGCATTACAACCACACCGTTTGAGGTTCGTATTGCGGTATCTCCTCTCACCGGGATGCATCTCCAACGAATCAAAGTTCTTTTTATTTGGGTTTCCCTCCCTGCTGCACACAAACCACCTAGCTTGAATGTCGCTGTGCTTGTTCGGTTTTTTTTCATGTATACGAACATCAAAGCCGGCATTGTCCGCGTAAGCCCTGTACATATTTTCAACCTCATTTATAGATGCATATTGTGCGTTGGTCTATGGCTTAAGCGTGTCATCAACATTTGGGATAAAGAAACTTTATTCCTTTTTAACTCTCGCCTATATCATAATCAACTTCTTGTTGTGGAGTGATATTATCAAGACCTGATGGAAAACAAGTAGTTGGTCTTTGAGATTAAGTTAGTATAACATGAATGGAGTGTTAAAGAACAACAACCAGGTGGGTATAGTGAAACTCACAACAACATGAAATATATATCTTATTTGATATGTCGAACATATGAAATTATTAATATTGTCTAGATATACCAACTGTAAACAGATGTTGAGATGGTTTGTGAACAATACTAATTAAAAATGTCATTAATCTACAAATAGACATGTTAGATATGTAGATACAGCGCGTTGATATCAATGTTTCCACATCCAAAAACTAACAAACATAATCTTAGTGCTTCACTATCACATAACACTGTCATGTTAGTCTCTGTTCAATGAAGTGGTTGTCAACTAACACAACAAATTCACAAATATATGACCCTACACATTATATGATGATCTAAGCACTAACATGTAATTGACTCATACAACCTCATACCCGGCACAGTTCTTAGCCAATGCATCAATGTTTGTTATGAGTCAATATTTGTACAAGAGATTAACTTGTACACATATAAAATACAGATTTAGTCTATCAGCTTATTAAGAGGGTAACAAACAGTAAACATTTGGTGCGTCATACGTAAGAGTGTCACCCTACCATATCCTATTAACGACTCATTAGGTTTAACGATATGTAGAAGACTGCAGTTTGTTCACGATATGCTAAGCGTGTGTATATTACATACAGTACAAACGAAACCGTTAATAAATTTGAACATTCATATGTGCAGCAAATGGTCACCACTTGTATATTAAGAGGCAGACTATGGTGAGATATGCAACCAGATAACATCTAATTTCATGTAATGAACGGTTGTCATATTGAGGTAAGTGACACGTTAACATAATGAACAACACCCGTAAATTCAGAATTTTAATCTGTGTGAAGACATGAGCACGTATGCACAAGCGGCATCAAATGCAGTTTGTGTTCATATGTGTATCTTCACACATATTAACTGTTTTGTTTGTATGCGTATATGACAGTTCTCTTCTAGTTTGCGTAAAAAATTTGTGTGCAGCTGACCATTTGAAAAAAATGATTTGTCATTACATGATCTTAAAATGGTGTAAGAGGTTAAAACACATGGAAATGGATATAATGCAAAGGATTTAGCTAATATAGCATCTGTGATGGACAATGGACGGAGTCACTTAAGATAATGTACTCCATTTCAGTGTCGTTGGAGAAATATTCACTATGTAAGGTACTTTTAAATTTAAGTGAGGATATGCTTTGGTTTACATACACTTTAAATAGTTAGAACCATAAGAAAATATATCGATATATATGAAGCACTGGGAACTACAATGAAAATCAGACTTCTCAATCCATAGATAAAACACTTGAATTGAAAAGCAACAAATTGATATATAAGGTGCCACTTATAACTGTAGCAGTTGGCAAGCGATGGATGAGGGTGACACCATGTTCAACCATCTAGCGATTCATATATAACAAGCCACAACATCCAGATCGTATGCACCACACGAAACAAATATCCGGAAATAGGAAAATGTATACTATGATTCAGGTGAACAGCTTGTGTACATCCGCAAACAACACGTATAAAAAACAAAATATACATATCGACACAATAGTTGTTCACATTAATCACATATCCTGTTCATATTCATGTGATGTCGTTGTGCATATGTATCGATATGAACAACGACATCACATACTAACCAAGATCCTGTTCATATTCATGTGATGTCATTGTGCATATGTATCGATATGAACATATACTGCCTTTGTTATGTGTTCATATGTTGTGTGTGTCCTTATGTCTTAGTGTCTCTTGGCATGTGATTTAATTGTTCATGTGTGTCGATATGAAAATCTAATGCCTTTGATACAGCTGAACACTAATGAATCATATCATCTATATCTATGTGATTTGTGCAGTTTCATATGTGTTTATGTGTGTCCCTATGTCTTAAAATTTGTTCATATGACAAACTAATTCGTTGTGTTTAAACCTCATATCTCTTTCTCTATCAACTAAATTAATCCCTTAACATATGCAGTACCATAATATACAATTGATGTTCAACGAGGTCAACTATATTCATTACCAGCAAGAATAGTTAATAGTTCACAAAGGTAAGAGTAGTTCATTTAAACAAAATGAAATGTCATACTAATCACTTACCAATAGGAACGCTTTGATCATCTTCTTCATTATCGGAATTCGAATTCCGACCGTAGTCGTAGACGATTTTAACTTTGTCATTTCCATTGTTGTCAATATGTTTTACAATAGGATTATCCATATTACTCGGACGATACAGAAATCTTTTACACTTACAAAAACAATATCATTATATGTAGAACATCACTTGAAAATTACGATCATGAACACGTATGAAGATAAAATTCAGAATTACATCATGATCAATTAGTGAGATATTTAAGATTTGTAACTCCCAATTAATTATTAGGGAGTTATATAAAGGTCAAATTACCTAATTACCCTTGTATTTAATATATGAGTTACATTTGAACATAAAGTAAAGATGGAATATGATTGGTTAGGCTTGGTTAGTATAGTTAACACAAATTTCTTGGTTAGTATTTGAACCAAACTCTATACATATGTGTGTGTGTGTGTGTGTGTGTGTGTATATATATATATATATATATATATATATATAGAGAGAGAGAGAGAGAGAGAGAGAGAGAAGCAATCAAATGAAAACCGTCATCATTTGTGTAAATCATGTAAACCAATCTCATCCATCCATTTTTTTGATCAATGTCAAGATTAGTTTAGGTTATATTAGGAAATTAAAAAAATAAAAAATAAAAATTTATTTTATAATCCCAAAAAGGGCAAAATGGTAACTTTAGTAGTGGTGATATTAATGGCAACCATATCATGTATATCGTAATATTAATGGAACAAAATCATTTGTAAAATAATATATTAATTTTATGTTCAAATATTTTAAAAAATAACATCCATCATTAAAATAAATCAACAATAAAAATAAAACACATTATAATCAATTTAACATAATGAAACCTTTTGAATAATAAAAAAAAATTACTACTACATTTCATGAACGAAATAGTTTCACAGTTTCATCAATATACAAATCAACGTAATGCTAGATGAGACATTTTTCATTTTCAAGTTTCCAGTAGATGGATCCTTTTCAATCTAATTATGAAATGGTTTCACTGTTTGCTAATTAAACAACATGTTCTTAACAATTATGAAATGGTTTCTTTGTCGTTATGCACCCATTTCATTGACAAAGTTTTTGCAATCCGACATGGTTTCACGGTTTCATCAATACACTAATCAACGTAATGTCTTATGAGACATTTGTCATTTTCATGTTATTGGTAGATGGATCCGTTTCATTGTAATAATGAAATTTGCTTCACTGTTCGCTAATTACACAGCATTTTCTTATCAATTATGAAATGGTTTCACTTTCTTTATGCACCCATTTCATTAGCCAATTTCTTCCAATACGAACACGTTTCATAGAGTCAATGCATTTACCATTACATGCTTTGTTAACAATTAAGTGAACAAAATCATCCAAAAAATAAAACAAAATGAAACAATTTCATCAAATATTGTTGATAAGAAAACAAGATTACACAACCAGTTCATCTCCAAAAGTTTTATAAAACAAGCTCCTCAATGAACGTTTTTACGAACCAATCTGCATATGTTTCATAAAACAAGCTCCTCAATGAACGTTTTCACGAACCAATCTGCATATGTTTCATAAAACAAGCTCCTCAATGAACGTTTTCACGAACCAATCTGCATACGTTTTATAAAACAAGCTCCTCAATGAACGTTTTCATGAACAAATCTAACATGAATCTGTTTCACAACTGATTATATTTTTACCGGTTCATGAATCTTTGTTTGGATCTGTTACTGATTTCGTGGATTAATGAATATAATAATTTTCGATTTTCATATTATTACCACTAATAAACCAAGAAACCAAATAACAATATTCAGTTTTTAAAATTCTAATTTAAATTTACATTTAAATATTATCATTTATAAAATTTTCTTTATTATGATACCTTAATTAAGATTTATTAATAACTTCCATATTTAATAG